TTCTATTCTATTCTATTCTATTCTATTCTATTCTATTCTATTCTATTAACTGGTTAACCAAGGTCAGAACTTCTTAATACTCATGGGAGAACATCAGGAAGTCTCAGGGCATAACTAAATTGAGAAGTACAAAACAACCTACAAGTAGGCAATAGCAAACTAGTACAATATTTGTTGTGAATATGTCATCAATATACTTGATAGAAGAGAATGTTTGTACTTCAGGGTTGAACTGTGGTGTCCTTGATGCTCTCTGAGCTTGGTTGTTTTCTTGAAGATGTTTCATTATCAAACTAGGTAATATCATCAGGATAGAAACAAACCATCCAGTTTGATGCAATAGTTATGAAAGCCAACATACTGTACTGAAAACCAAGTGACTGTGAGTTCTACTTCTCCTTAGACATGGCAGTCAGCTGGGTGATTCTTGGCTGGCCACCTTCTCTTAAACCAAGGGTCTTCAAATCTGACAACTTTAGGATTTGTGGACTTCAATTCCCAGAATTTCTGAACTAACATGACTGGAGGAAGAATTCTGGGAGTTGAAGTCCACAAGTCTTAAAGCTGTTGAGTTTAAAGACTCCTGTCTTAAATCAATGCAACTCACAGTGTTCTTCTTGTGAGGTTAATAGAAGGGCAGAGAGTTATGATCGCTGTCTCAAGTTGTACCAAATAAAACGTAGGATATAAATCTTGAAGCCAACATTTTTAGCTTTGCGGTTGGGAAAAAACAATAAACGTATTAAGTTAAACAAAAGCCATGTGTTCTTAATGTTAGCATTCATCGCTAATATTTTATAGAATTTTCCTTCTGAGTATTATGTTACATTTGACAAACGAAAAAGATCTATATCAACACAAGAGTTATCAGGATTTTTAAAGCAGTACATTCATTTCAAACGTGCAAAGGGGTTTTCAAATCAGTGCTGGGAATGTGGAAAGCATGAGGGGCCAATTTATCGCGCATGGTGGACTTTTGCAAGAATGCTAAAAAAAAAATTGGATGCAAATTCATAGAACGATGCAAAGAATCTTAAAGATTAATGTTACTTTCATTAGCACAGGCCTCCTATAATAATTGAGCCGTAGAGGTAATACAGCTTGGACTGAAAATGCAGTTTGCTTTCCTCATTTTTCACTTATCTAAGCCTTGGAAAGAGGCACTAAACCTTTTCTGATTGGGGCTACTAAGACTTTGGCATCAAAGGACTACTAATGAAGTTATCTAGTTGGGGTAATAAAACGACTGCAAAAGAACAACAAAGCTGAGAGAGCACCAAGGACCCCACAGTCCTCCTCTCAAACCCTTCTCCCTTCTAGCACTGATGATAGTCCTTAGTTGGGTTATGAAACGTGCCAAAAAACCACCCAGCTCAGAGAGCACCAAGGACCCCACAATTCAACCCTGAGCTACAAATAGTCTCTTCTATCAGTACCAGATGACTACAAGATGACTACTACAAGACTACCAAGAGTCCATCCAGAATTTTGCAGCCCCAGTTAGCAGTAGGATCAGTGGATGTATGGATTGCTTGTGCCTTTTCAGGACTGGTAAAAAAAATTCAAGAGAGCATCTGTGATGCGATCAAAGTTCTACTCCTTTTCATGTTATTTTAACAGATTTTGTAATCACATCACTAAACTTCTGGGAGTCCTTGTGCAATTCAGAAAGAAACAGTTGCCTAACTAAATAGCACCAGGTTCTTATTTCACCTACCTAAGTGCCACAGTGACAAATAGAATTCCCCAAATAATTAAGCTTGGAAAATCTGCAAAAAAAAAGTTGTGTGTGTGTGTGTGTGTGTGTGTGTGTGTGTGTGTGTATTATTGCACATGATATTGCTGCAATAAATAAATGCCAAGGTTTAAAGAAATGAGACACAGTTTTACTGGAATCCCTTCCACAGGGAAATGGGTGAAACAGACAAGACATGAAATATAATAAGAGCATTCATTTTTACCAGGCTATTAATGTTGTGGTCTTTGTAAGCTCAACAGCAATACTCTGAGTAGTTGTTGGACAGGGGAAGAGAGCCCTTCAGGTTTGCACTGGGTTTATTTGGAGGATATTCCTTCCTGCCGTTCACTTGCAATTCTTTCTTTCTTTTTTTTACACTCACGGTTTGGAGGTCCGTGAATTCCCTCCTTGCATTTCTCCACTTAACCCCACCAATAAACTATTCTACAGCCAAATACATTTCAGCAGCCAGGGTTGAGTAGTCCCACAGCTGAACTGATCAACCTACTGGGTTTGCTCTTCATTTGGGAGTACCAAAATAAATACCGTATTTATCGGCGTATAACACGCACTTTTTCCCCCTGAAAATAGGGGGCAAATGATGTATGCGTGTTATACGCTGATGTCCAGGGAGCGGAATCCTCTTTAAGGGATCCCGTTCCCAATAGTGCCTAGCGGCGGCGCAGCGTCGTGACGTGATGTCAGCGCTGCGCCCGCCGCATATTTTTTTCCTGAAATTTCCCTCTTAAAGGGAATGCGTGTTATACGCCTGTGCGTGTTATACGCCGATAAATACGGGTAAGTAAATAATTTTTTAAAAAGGGAAGAATATTGACAAGGACCTGGCAGTTTGTTAAGTTATACTTAAGGAGGGGGCCCTGCTTGGGACAAATTGCCCCTAGCCAGCTTACTGTGGCCAACTCACCATGGCCAACTCACCATGGCCAACTCATTGCGGCCAACTCATTGCAGCCAACTCATTGCGGCCAACACGCTGCAGGACAACTTGCTGCAGGACAATGTAACAATTCTATTTCATTATTTAAACTAAATTTTTTTAAAAAAATTAAATTTTTACCATTCACATTAAACTCTGTCCCTCCTTTGCCATCCTTTCTTTAATGATCCTATTGCACCATTTCTTTGATATTAGGGTCACTCTTGTCCTGCGTCCTGCAGTGAGCGGTCTTGTGGTGAGATGGCCACGTGTGGCAAGTTGGCTGTGGCAAGTTGGCCATGGCAAATTGTCATAGACCCACTCTGCTTTGCCTCAGGATCACAATTATAGAACATCTTCTAGAACAGAGGTGTCAAACTTAAGGCCCAGGGGCAGGATCTGGCCCACAGGGTACTTAGATCTGGCCCATAGGGCCACCGTGGAAACAGCGAAGGACTGACTCGCGGTGCCTCTGCCAGTGAAAATGGATGTCAGGACGGCCACATGTTGAGTCTGGTCTCTGGGTGTTATGTGAATTTCATTGTAGGTATACTGTGTATATATGTACAATGCAGAGGTGGTATTCAGCCGGTTCTGACCAGTTCTGGAGAACCGGTAGCAGAAAATTTGATTTGAACAGGCAAATCCCACTTCTGACTGGCCCCGCCAATTCCAACTCTTCTCTGCTTCCCATTGAGTCCCAGTTGATCAGCTGGGTCTCCTTTGGTTGCCCTGCACAGGAGAATGGAGCTGGAAAGCAGGTTAGTGGGGTGGGGAGGAATGGGATTTTACAGTAACCTTCTACTTGGAGTGAAGAGGGAATGGGGATTTTACAGTATCCTTCCCCTGCCACACCCACCAAGCCATGCCACACCCACCAAGCCATGCCCATAGAACCTGTAGTAAAAAAAATTGAATCCCACCACTGGTACAGTGACAGTAAATAATTCAATTCAGTTCACACACAGCCCTCCTAAGCTCCGTTTTCGTGGGCAGAGGGTTGCAGGAGGCCATTGCAGCCAGAAACGGAGCTCGGGAGCCCATTTTCGCTGGCAGAGCGCTTGGGCCACCACAGGCGCCCCCGACACGTGTGATTTTGAGCTGGCCACACCCACCATGGCCACACCCACCCTATCCCCCCAAGGCCAAACACAACCCTGATGCAGCCCTCCATGGAATCGAGTTTGATAACCCTGTTCTAGAATGGCCATTGTTAACCTCCTCATTTTTACAGTGGATCCAGACATCATCGAGGTGCATCCGTTGCATGCCATCCATTAACCAGGGTGGTTTACTAATACAGGTAGTCCTTGACTTACAATCATTTGTTAAGTGGCCATTCAAAGTTATGACATCGGGGAAAATGATTTATGACCCATCTTTGCACTTACAATGGTTGGAGCCTCCCTATCATTGTGTGATCAATATTTGGGCAACTGGCACCTATTTATGGCAGTTCAACTATCCCAAGGTCACATGATCAGTATTTGTAACCTTCCCCAGCCAGTTTTTAACAAGCAAATTCAGTGGGGAAAGCCCGGTTTGCTTAACGACTCCATGATTCGCTTAAGGACTGCAATGATCTCCTTAATAACCATAGCTCCTTTTTTTTTTTCAAATTTGGGAGTGAATCACTTCATAACCGCCTTGCTTTGCAACCAAAATTCTAATCTCAGTCAAGGACTGCCTGTAAAAAATTTACACTAGTAACTGCCTAAACTATTCACACATAGTAAGTTCTCTGGGTATTATATGGATCCAGGATTTGGCACCTCTTCATTGCAAAGCAAGAGAATATTCCAGTCATTGTAGATGTGAATTTTGAGCTGACAATGTGTAGGAAAAAGTATTTGTGGCTGTCAGAAGCCCCCTTCCTCCCCCCTAGTTAAAATATTCCTTATTCTTAATATTAAAAAGAGGCAGGATAGAATATTTTCCCCAAAGGAGAAATGGAGAAAAATCTTAACAGAGTCAGAAAGCAGCCCCAGTCTTCCTGCCATAGGAAAACAGCCTCAAGCCAAAGCTCGAAGAGGCTGGTCTTTAGGAATGGAGATTTTGTAGAAAAAATGGGCCAATCTATTCATAAGCAAAGAGACTCCAAAGAAGCAACACAATTAGGCAAACCAATACTGACAAGATTAACTCAAACACCAAGGATTGGCATTTCCCCTTTTGCCTGTAGAGCCAGTCGTGACCCCTACATGACCTCATAGGAATCTGGCAACAGCCATTAAAATATTCAAGGACATATTATTACCCAGGAATGGGCATCTCAATTACAAAGCTCCAAAGAATGTATAAAAGCCCACCTATCTCATCCTCTTTTTTTTCATGCTGCTGTCACTGAAGTTTCTGGAAAACCAAATAAACAGAGGCCTTCTTTCCCATTTTATTTCCAGCGTCTTTCTCCTGATTTGGAACTGGACTGGATTTTTCTTCCAGCAAGGCTAAAGGAGAGCTTCAAATAAACAGAAGACTAATAGAAGCACAACAAATGTCTGCAACAATTGTGTAACCAATTCTTCAAAATTGAAAATCTTACGTATCATTCCTCTACCTTTGGGTTAGACTCTCATATTTCTAACTAGAGTCCTTTTTGGAGACTGGCTGCTATATTTACAAACTGCTGTGTGCTTCAGAGAAGGTGGCTACCAAACCTGAAAAACTTCAGTTGACCAATAAATGACAGCAAAGGAATTTATGGCCCTCTGGTCCTTGCCCAGAATTTTATAAACATGGTAGCTGCATTCCTGAAGCCACAAGAAGAACCTAAGGACACTTACCACATCTTTGTGGTTGTATATGACTCATAGATTGTATTCAACATACTGTAGGAGAACAGGCAAACCTGAAGGTGGAGTCAAGGGAGAAATCAGCCTGGAATCATTACATTGCCACAAACTTTCTACATCTAATCTCTCTTGAATTCCCTTAACTCTATTTATTGCATTATTAACTAGATTCTTGTATATAAGCAAGAGCAATAAATCAGCTTAATTGGAATCTAATGTGTGGTCCTGGATTCTTCGGACCATACTGAGTCCCTATAATGGTATGTGGAAATGACCTTGGAAGACAGGAAGGAAAGCTGCACCCTGATAAGAGGCTGATAAATGAGATTTTGAGTTCAAAGGAGGAGGAGGTGGAGAAAGCATTGCAGAAGGAACCCTTTTCATGGGATGAAAAGTCAGGAATGAGAGAAATACTTTCATATTTGCAAGTTTCTGTTAATGCAATGGACTATCTCGAAGGACTGAGTAGCATGCTTAGTAGAATTAATTACAAAAATAAGGATTATTTCTATGGACTATTTCCCTAGTAATAGGTTGGTTTGTCTTCCGCTTTGGTCCATGTCCAACTTTCTGGAGATCTTCATGTCTGCAGCAGCTGCCTCATTTTCAGTCCAGAAAACTAAACGGGGGGAGCTTTATACAATGAAATGTGGTTGTACGTTGTCGTTCCAAAAACTCTCAAGGAAGATGCTTCCATCGGACACATCCTGTCCCTTAGTATTACACAAATAAACAAACAAACTTGAACCCGAGCAAACTGGACAACAAACAAAGATAATAATCACATCCTGGGTTTCCTTCACTGCGATCTGATGCTTTGTTTGACTCAGCTGGCTTTAGAAAATGAGAAGTTGTGTCTCTCTCCATTTGGGCCTGGGAAGTGCTTCCTGTCTGGTTGTTACAACTGGTGGGGGCAGCCCTCTGAAGGATGTGTCAAGGTGAGCTGTGATCACAAATGTAGCTAGCTGGGTTGGTCCTCTTTCACACAAGGGTTTGGAGCTGGCTGGTCAGGTTATAGTAAGCTTCTACCATGGCTTACATACACTTTGTCACCCAGTGTGCAAACAGCCTAGTAATAGACGTGCGTTCTGGTCTGCCAGATTTCATTAAAAAATCATTTTTTCCTCCTGTTCCAACGAATAGCAGTAAAAGGTAAAGGTAAAGGTTCCCCTTGCACAGCTGTGCTTGTCGTTTCTGGCTCCAGGGGGTGGTACTCATCTCCGTTACAAAGCCAAAGAGCCAGCGCTGTCTGAAGATGTCTCCCTGGTCATGTGGCTGACATGACTAAACATGGAGCACTGGTATCTTCCCATCAAAAGGGTCCCTATTTTTCTACTTGCATTTTTTAATGTGCTTTCGAACTGCTAGGTTGGCAGAAGCTGGGACAAGTATCAGGAGCTCACTCCGTTACATAGCGCTAGGGATTCGAACCACCGAACTGCCGACTTTTCTGCTCGACACGCTCAGCATCTTAGCCACCGAGCCATCGTGTCCCTCATGGTACACAAACAGCTAAATGAGACTGGTGAGTTCATTTAGTTATGTACAACTCTTCAATATCTTTATAAACAATTTGGATGAGGGAATTGAAGGAGAACTCATCAAATTTGCAGATGACACCAACTGGCGGGAACAACCTACACCCCAGAAGATAGGCTCAAGGTCCAGATGGATCTCAACAGAGATGAACATTGGGCCCTATTTTACAAAATGCAATTCAATCTAGAGAACAGTAAGATTTTACACTTGGGCAAGAAAACATAAATGTACAGGTACAGATTAGGTGAAACCTAGCTCAACAGCAGTAACTGCAAAAGGGATCTTGGGAGGCCTAGTAGACAATCACTTAAACATGAGCCAGCAGTGTGCGGCAGCAGCCAAAAAAGCCAATGCAACCCTAGGATCAAGTTCCCACTAAGACACTCACTTTATAAAGCCTTAGGAAGACCAACTTGGAATACTGCATCCAGTTTCAGTCACCACGATATAAAAAGATGTTGAGAACAAGTCCAGAGAAGAGCAACAAAGATGATTAGGGGACTGGAGGCTAAGTATAAAGAACAGTTAAAGGAATTGGATATGGCTAGTCTAGTGAAAAGAAGGACTAGGGGGGTGACATAATGGCAGCCTTCCAAAATCTAAGGGGCTGCCACAAAGAAGAGGGGGACAACCTCTTTTCCAAAGCAACAGAAGGCAGGACAGGAAACAATGGATGGAAACTAACCAAGGAGAGAAGCAACCTAGAACTAAGGAGAAATTTCCTGACAGTGAGAACAATAAATTAGTGAAATGGCTTGCCTTCAGAAGTTGTGTACATACACACACACACACAAAAGAGAGAGAGAAGCATGCTTATCTGAACTCCTAAAAACCTAACCAAAACTATAAAGAAATAAAATCCTTTCAATCTATCTCGTGTGGGCTGGAAATGAGGGCGTCGTTCCTCTCGTTCTCTTCAAAAACTTTTCCCTGAAAACCCTTGTTCTGTTTTATGATCAAACGAGGCTTAGAAAGAAGCCTGGGCTGAATAGGGCTCTGTTTCCACTCCTCAAGATGGTTTCTCAGGCTTGCTGTTTTGAAAATGTGTGGAAGCGTTAAAAGAAAAGACAGCTGCGCCCGAGGAACGCCAGTAACCCTTCGAAGCTTCCTGCTCCCTTTCTATATCGCCCAAGCCCGTGCGGGGAGGTGGGAGTCCTTCAAATAAATGCGCGTCTATGTTTCCGTTCCGTTCAGAAGACAATCCTGCTGCCAAGTTTTCAAGAATAAACAATCCTGGGAACTTCACAGCAGATGATCATGTTTGCCTCTTCCATGACCAGGTTTAAAGGGACAAATGGATGTTAGTTGCAGAGGAGGGGAGGGGGGAAAAGGGGAGGGGGGGGGAATGAATTCCTTGGTATAAGGTTTCAAATTCAGAGAGAAAAGCCTGCAAAATAAAGCCAATCACAGCTGGTGTGAGCTACTGGAATTCAATTATTTATCCCATCTGGATCAATAGCAAGTTAAAGAAGCTGTTTAAGAGTCTTAGTTGGGTATCTATTGGTGACCATGATAGGAGTGGGAGAGGGAGGGAGGGAGGGAAGGAGGGGAAAAGAGGGAGAGATGGAAAGAGAGAGAAAGAGAGGGAGAGAAATGCTGAATTAATTTATTGGCATCTAAGCTTTCTTGTAAGAGCGATGTAGTGGCTCAGTGGCTAAGACGCTGAGTCGATCAGAAAGGTCGGCAGTTCAGCGGTTCGAATCCTCAGTGCCGCGTCAAGGAGGGAGCTCCTGTCCCTTGCCCCAGCTTCTGCCAACCTAGCAGTTTGAAAGCACGTAAAAAATGCAAGTAGACAAATAGGGACCCCTTTGGTGGGAAGGTAACAGCATTCCGTGCGCCTTTGAAGGCGTTTAGTCATGCCGTCCACATGACCACGGAGACGTCTTCGGACAGCGCTGGCTGTTCGGCTTTATAACAGAGATGAGCACTGCCCCCCTAGAGCCAGAAATGAGTAACACGTATGTGTGAGTGGAACCTTTACCTTTACCTAAGCTTTCTTATAGACCCACATTCTGTTCCCTTAATCAAAGCCAAGGATACATTATGGAAATGTTGGGTGTCAGAGATGAACTGAAGATCCGAAAGAAGGAAGAGGGACATGAAACAGCCAAACTCATTTGCACACTAAATGTGTTTCATATGCAAACAAATGTGCAAATGTGCTTCTATCTGTGGAGCAGATCATCAATCTTTTTCATAACCCTTCTAATCCCTTAATTCGGGAGAGAGTTGGGGAGGTTGGATGGAGCTGAGCATTTACTGGCCGGATGCCTTTCCCGATGCCACATGGAGTTCACAGCAGATTTTTTTCTCTCTCTCCCCCGCCCCCAGGAAGGAGAAATGTCTGCCACTGCTAGCTGGGATTGAACTCTCAACCTTCCAAGTGGGAAGCAGGCATCTTCGCCACCAGACAGATAGCGTAAGTAAATAAAATGTCCACTACTGTAATTCAGAAATTATTGGCATATAATCTATGAAAAAATATGACTCTATAGCAGAGACTAGTTTGAACCTTCATTCAAATGATGATTTTTTGCATTGTCTGTAATAGGTGAAGGGTGACTTTTATTTATTTGAGGAGGGACACAGAGAGAGAGGGAGAGAAAGAAAGGAGGGAGGGAGAGAAAGAGAGAGAAGGAAGGAAGGGAAGGAAGGCAGGAAGAAGGAAGAACAAGAAGGAAGAATGAATGAATGAAGGATAGATAGATAGACAGATAGATAGATAGAGATAGATAGATAAAATTCCAATTGGAGGGAAAAGATTGGAATACTTTGTTCCATTATTTGAAACATATCTATGCCATTCTTAGCATAATTCAGAATTTTGGGATGCAATCCTTCCCCTAATCATAAAATCAATGCAAGAAATAAGGTGCATCTTCCTTCAAATGTCTATGATGATTCTCAGACTTCCAGGTCCTGGTTGTCCCAAAGGTGCTACTTTTTATAAGAGGCAACTGGATTTTCTTTGTTTTTCCTTGAAGATGTTTCACTTCTCGAAGCTTCTTCAGTTCTGGATGAATGTTGGAGGATGGAAGGATTTATATTCCTTGCAGTCATCTGCTTGTTAGCACTCGTTAGAGTTGTTGAGGCCACTTGGTGGTTTATCTGTATAATATCATTCCTTCCATTCTCCACCATTCAGTCAGAACGGAAGGAGTTCCTTGGATGAGAAGGAAAATGTCTTAAAGGAAAAACACAGTCTAGTTGCCTTTTGAAAAAGGACCTTTAGATCCTTCTTTTAAACTTGAACAAAACAACTTAGCTAAAGACTGAAAAGATTCCAATATAGACACCAAGCCAAATTTTGGGATGACACACGTGAAAGATTTCCGTTTCCACCAGAGGTGCGTATTCAGCAGCCTCTGACCAGTTCTGAAGAACCGGTTGTGGAAATTTTGAGTAGTTCAGAGAACCGGCCAATCCCACCTCTGACTGGCCCCGCCCCATCTATCCTCTGCCTCCCATTGAGTCCCAGCTGATCGGCTGGGTCTTCTTTGGTTGCCCTGCACAGGAGAACAGAGCTGGAAAGCAGGTTAGTGGGGTGGGGAGGGAATGGAGATTTTGCAGTATCCTTCCCCTGCCACGCCCACCAAGCCACACCCATAGAACCGGTAGTAAAAAAACATTTGAATCCCACTACTGGTTCTCACACATACTACCTCCTGTAAAAAAGAAAACACCTGAAGGAAGAGCTCCATGGAAATACTTAAGCTTGGGCATTAATATGAGAAAGGATGCTTCTTTTATGACTAATACTAGTCAGATATTGTGTTGTAAGTTGGATCTATAGTTTGAGGGACCTGCCAGTTATACAAATGTATGATGTCAACTTTACTGAATTACCTATCAAGGCTTTGGAGAGCTGGAACAGGAGGAGAGATGGATGGACTTAAAATCTGTCCTCAGTATAATATTTAAGATTCCACGTAGATGTTAATCCATTCATATTTTCCAAAGCTAGATGTTACAGAGTGCAAGATATATCTTACATGCTGTTAACATCTACCGAACCAGAGTTTCAACGTTGGCTGTGTTTCAGTTTCTCTGGTAATTTGAAGCCAACCGTCTTATGGGCTTTGCCAAAGAGGAAAGAATCAATCTTCATGACAGGAAAGGGAGTGAAGATTTGAAGTCCAACCTTTGGTCCAGCATTGGCCACAAAGCAAAGTATCTGAAAAACTGCAGAGATGTAGTTTCAGAAGAAGGGTTGTTATTTTTTAAAAAGGAGTCTTAATTTTTCCTTTAGTTCTGGGAAGAAGAGAAATTGGGATGGAGGTTATAAAAATATTTAAGAACGGCTCAGATGACCTTGAAGAAGCTCCCATCTGGTCATGTTTGAAGACCTAAACCAAGCAATGCATGGATTCCTTAGTCTAGCAGTGCCTCAAAAATCTGTGGATGTAATTTTCAGAAGGGAAGGTGGGTTTTTTTTTTTTAAGTTTTCTTCATTTTTCTTTAATTCTGGGAGGATACAAATGTGATGGAGAAACTAAATTAAATACCCAATTGTGCCCAAGATTTGCGAGACAGTTGTTAAGTGAGGTCCATTTTACAACCTTAAATGAATCTGGCTTCCTCGTTGACTTTGCTTGTCAGAAGATTGCAAAAGGGGATCACGTGACCTCTGGACACGACAACCGTCATAAATATGAGCCAGCTACTAAACATCTAAATTTTGATCACATGACCATGGGAATGCTGCAACGGTTGTAAGGATGAAAAACAGCTGGAAGTCACTTTTTTTCAATGCTGTTGTGTAACTTCAAATGATTGCTAAGTTGAGGACTACCTATAAGCAAGGACAGATTATGTGAAGTTGAGTAAGCTCTCCTCCAACCAGAGAAATTCAGGGATGGAGACCAGATATCTTCAAACATAAGGTTAACACTCAAGTTTCTTGATCTTCTTCAGCCTCCATGCCGTGAAGAACCTCTTAACCACCACAATAGAGCTGGAAGGGACCTTGGAGGTTTTCTAGTCCAACCCCCTGCTTAAGCAGGAGATCTTACACCAGAGGTCTTCAAACTTGGCAAGTTTAAGACTTGTGGACTCCCAGAATTCTTTCTCGAGTCATGTTAGCTCAGGAATTCTGGGAGTTGAAGTCCACAAGTCTTAAACTTGCCAAGTATACCATTTCAAACAGGTGGCTGTCCAGTCTAAAAAAACCTCCAGTGATGAAGCCCTTGCAATTTCTGAAGGCAACTTCTGTTCCACTGGTTAACTGCCCTTAGGAAGTTTCTCCTTAATTCCAGGTTGCTTCTCTCCTTGATCAGTTTCCATCCATTGTTCCTTGTCTTGCCTTCTGTGCTTTGGAAAATAAGTCGACCCCCTCTTCTTTGTGGCAGCCCCTCAAATACTGGAATACTGCTTTTTCTTCTTTTCTTTTTTAGAAGAGTTCTGGGTAATCTTTTTAGGTACATGTGAAAGTGGAGCAACGATGAGAAAGGGGGAAAAAGAGAAGATTTGAACACAAGAGCCAAAATGTGAGAATCTTCTCAGACTCCAAAGGTTTGCCTAGTAACTTGAAAGAACAGTTTAAGTTTCCGCCACTTGTGATTAGACTAAGGTTGGAAGTGATAGATACTTCCTGAAGTCCTTCGTTGGAAATCTTTGGGCTTATTGCCCTTTGCACAATCCAGTGTTTTGTGCACATCCTTCTATTTTTATCCATCTCCAGGAACTTGTGCAGTTAGTTACTGGAAATCTAGCTTGGAAGGCACGGCTTGTGCAATACCATGAGTTTTGAGAAGAGCATCTCATGGGACAAGTATTACCAAACAATGTGATGCTTAGGGATAAGGGGACAAGCCCAAACAAAGACAGGAGTTTTCAAAATCTCTGGATAAATATTTATATCAAGAGTCCATTTAAAAAAAAAAAAACAGACCATTTGTCCCAAAAAATGTTGGGGGGTAATCTTGGAAAAATTGACCAAACCTCACTTCTTGCTGTGGGAATTGATAATTTGAACAAACAGATGTGAGTCTTTCAGCCTGCATGGACAAAAAGTCCCAGCCTAGAATTGAATTCTGTCCATTAGAAAGGAATGGCAACCATTTTTTTTTCAATGTCACAAGCCACGTTTTGCTGCATGTTCCCAAATGCTTCAGCAAGAGGCCACCCTAAGCAATATGTCAAAGAGGAAAACTTTCCTGGGAAGAAAATGCAATTTGGCTGCATATTGACCCAGGAGTTCCTTGATCAAATGCCAGCCGGTGAAGTGGATGGAAAGAGCAATCTAGAACGAAGGAGAAACTTTCTCACAGTGAGGACAATCCCCCAGCGGAGCTGCTGGCCTCCAGAAGTTGTGGCTGCCCCATCACTAGGGAGTTTTAAGAAGAGACTGGACAGCCATTTGACCAGAACGGTATAAGGTCTCCTGCTTAAGTAGGGGGTTGGACTAGATGACTTCTAAGGTCCCTTCCAACTCTGTTCTTCTGAAAAGAGGCACACATGCCAAAATAATTTGCAGCTTGAAACCCAGATTTATACTTTTTTAAAAACAAAAACAAGACCTTCCCTATTCTGCTGACATGAAATTATATTAGTCACCTTTATTGATTCTTTTTTGCCACCGCGATAGATCGGGTGTCTTCTGAGTAATTTTGCTGCAGTCACACAGCCTGCATGATTTGATTGCTTATTAGTAACCTATAACTATTCTAAGTGTATCATAAGTCTTATGATTCTTGATGAATGTATTTTATTTTTCTTTTATGTACACTGAGCATATGCACCAAAGACAAATTCCTTGTGTGTCCAATCACACTTGGCCAATAAAGAATTCTCTTCTCTTCTCTTCTCTTCTCTTCTCTTCTCTTCTCTTCTCTT